CCAGACGCAAATCGATTGTATCTGAATGTCAACATCCCAGGAAGACTGTTGACAACGCAGCATTGCGATGCTTTAGGCTGTTGTATTAGATTTCTGACCCGGAGCTTTTCACACATTGTCCGTGTCGAATGGCAGCCAGCAACTTTCCACTTCCCGTTGAACTTGCCATATGCCCGCAGCCTATAATCAATGAGGCCCACCTTTGTAGAAATCCCCCACCCCGTTTTTCAAAAGCCACATTCTGCCCCATAACTACCGAAAATTTGCCTACTTCTGGCGTCATCGAGATTGTGAGCGGTTCTCATGTTGCACGCCTCCTTCCCCTCGGGATCCATATTGGTGGTGAGACTGCCTGAGGCCCGCGGTCCAGCTCGAGGTAGGGGCAGAGGCATCCTGAATAGCTGGTGAGGGAGTTACGGTAGGGTGGTGTGTAAAACTTGGTTCAGTGGGGCACTATGCCCAATGTTTTTGCTGGTTCAGAGAGGGAAGCATTTTCTGATGTAGCCACCCTGAGCACAGGGAACTGCGAGAACAAAGAAGATTGGCCACACTAGTTCATTTTGTAGGAGGACTTTGCCAAGATGAGTCACTACAGCCTGTCTCCATGACTAATTCCTATTGAGGCACGTATACATAGAGAGAGTATACAGGGCGCAACCCTTGCTTGCCAGATCGAAAGCCCTGTCTGCCAGATCTTGTGCGACCAAGTGGTTGTGGTTGTGGTTGTTGTTGTCTCTGGTACCAAGGATTGATATGCAAGCGTAAGCGGAATGGTCCAGCTCCGAAACGATACACCCATGGCACCCAGATGGGCATGCCCCTGATAGGTGTTCACATTGATGGCAGGCAGAGGCACAGGATGCCATCCCGGATGAGGAGCCTCTGCCTGAGCAAACGGAGGAGGCAGGACGGTGGTGACACCTGCGTTGCGTGCGAATAGGCTAGGTGGAATGCTAGGCTTCGTTGAGCGTTGAAGATGGTGAGCAATGTAAATGGGCTGTTTGACTTTTCCGGGCCGGTTCACAGAAGCAGTTGCACAAAAAAGCCAGTGCTGGAGCAAAGTGGCTGAACTGAGCTAGATGCTTGCTTCCACCATGTAGCATCCAAACAGCAGTTGAAATTCCTGGGGTAGCATTCATCAACGCGATGTTGAACAATCAGGCAGGGACTGAGAACCGAGTCCTTTGTAATTTACATGGAAGCCCACCAATGAAAGCTCCCTTGGATGCAAAGTAGTGACAGTTCGGCCTTGAAGTAAGCTGACTCGGCCACGGAAGAGCGCTCAACTTAAAGAATCCCTCTACAGCGCCTGAAGCGAGCTGCGCATAAGTTCCACAAAGTCAGTCCAGGGCTCACAAGGTTGTTTTCCCAAGAGAGGCTCGCTGAGAATTTCTTTGCTCAGAAACTTTGCTTCAAAACGCCCACTCGAAACATGTCACAGGTGCCCAACAAATCGGCTCGCCCAAACACCAAACTCTATCCCCTCAGGTGCCGCAGGAGCTCGGGGCCATGGAGGAGCCAGGATCTCTCGAAGATTTGGAAGACGCCTTCTGATCAGGGCACATTGGCTTGAAGGAGCCTTTATTGGTTTAAGGCGGTTAGGAGATTAGGGCATATTGGGGCTGAGCGATCAGGGTGTGAAGCACCAAGGTCTAGTGGTGAGGGTTCAGAGTTATTGCGTCACTTGCAGGGTGCATATTGTCATTACCCGAAGTGTAGCAGAGTGAAAGAGTAATTGAAACCGTCAAGAGTCAGCGAGCGTAGTGAACAAAGCAAAAAGACTTGCACGTGTGAGAAGCGGAAGGTTGATGAACCAGCTCTTATGCGGCTGTAGATTTCGTATTGTGGCTGGTTGTCATGCATTCCCCTCATAGCGTTGAATATCAAGCTTCAGAAGACAGGGTTCAGAGACTCAGGTAAGGAGACAGCTCGCAGGGAGAACAAGAACATAATGTCATATGTGACCGGTCCACGACATTGTTGGGCAAGAATGATATTCTTGGAGGTCCCAGAGCTGGCAACAACAGGATTCCAAGTCACTTTGCAAAATGCAAGGGCTGGGTCTCTTTGGCAAGGCCGGACATGAAGTACTGTATAGTGGAGATGAACTATATGCAGTCTTCTTCATCATCATCTTCAGTTCTTTCAATAGGGGGCTCTTTCAGCGGGCTATCGGTTGGAGGTTTCGGCCAAAGGCCTGAACCTCCTGTTCCAGGGGCGTCGAAACGATGGGCCCCTGGCATGTGGGTGTCAAGCAACTAGGGGAACACCTCAGTTGCTGGGTTATCAAAAGGTGCAGATGGGGGTGTCCTGAAATTAGGGGTACCCTTTTAGGTTCCCCATAATGAGGACTACAATATTTTGGGGTATTGGGGTACCCTTATTTAGGGAAACTACCAGATAGTTTAGTTCCCCTGGTTGATCTGACCTGGTTAATGTGCTTCAAGCTGGACCCCTCAGCAGAGGAAGCTCTGGATTTGGAAGGCGTCACTCTCGCCTAGCCTGGCTGCAAGACATGAACAGGTAACATACTGCACTTCTTATTCATGCGTTGCATGTATAGCACAGTCAATGTGAAATTTGGGCTGAATGAAATCAAAGTCCAACTGGGCAAATTAGGCGTGGTCATCCTTCAAAATCCACAGCTTCGTCCTTAGCGTTTAGTTGACTGACGACACAAGGACCAGTAGAGCTTGCTGCCTCCAAGCTGACAGCCAACTTGTAGGCGGGCGTGGCGATGGAAGATGCTACACTGCCACACCGCAATATCGGCAACTACAGGATGTCTTGCTTTAGTCCTGGCTAGGATCCCTTGTTTTATGGATCATTGGACCGTATCAGACTTTACTAGGCATTCTCCGCCAAACTAGCTGAAGCAAGTACTGGCACTCAGCCCTCAGTCAGCGGGCCCAGCTGCCACGAGCCATCGGCTGAAACCAATGGCGTGGTGATCAACGCAAAAGAAAGACGCTCGTGGAGATGGTTGGCTAAGGATTTGCTTTAGATTTCGGGTTCACGGGCGACCCACGTGGGACATTAGAAGCCTGTAGAGTCATGTAGGTCCAGGGCACTCAAACTGTCCATCTACCGTTGCCATTCAACAGCTTTCTCTGCCTTCCGCACACCCGGGTTTGCTTGCCCATCGGAGGGAAGCTTGCTTACACCCTGCCCCACAAGAGCCCCGGTCGCAGGCACCAGCTTTGTGTACCACTCACGCGCTGTGGCTTGCGCTTTCTGCGGGCGCCGCTACTTCCCGGCCTCCTTGCGCCTCCACGAGGAACACCGCAATTGCTGCAAATCACACAGTAAGCTGTTTGGTTTGGGGTTTGCTGGGCAGGAGGCTTTGGCCGCTATAGTATGCCGGTTCGGGGATTCAAACCATCAACCTGAACCTTTCACCACTTTAAATCCTCCAGCTCGAGCCTGCTTTCAGAGTTTCTGGCTCCACTAAGTTGACTTTATCGGGAGAGAAGCGCCCGCCATATCAACTTTCAAGGGGCTCTAGCCTGCACCCTTGGTGCTATGCCGTTGAGCTTAGAAAACGTTTGAAGGACTTACCTAAAGTTTTGATAGATTCTGCAAACCATGTTACTGGCTTTGTTAGGGAAGCCACCTAGACAATCCAGTGTAGTGTCGTAGCGCCTACATAAGAAGACGACCACGAGGAAGTTACCAAACCCAGGAAGGCACTGCATTTGGGGGTTCAGGTAAGCAGCAGCTTGAACCCTGTATTGAGATCCAGCACATCTCTTTGTCTGCTTACGATGTTCTGACCAGTCCTTCATGCTTCTACACAGCCGTCTAAACTCGATAAAGCTTAGTTTGTACCTGCCATGGCCTGCCATCTTCTGTAACTATCCTTACTTGCGATCTTGCTCTAAACCGACTGTTAAATACCCACAATTAATTAGGACCCCATCACCCCCATTTAGGGTACATGGAGGGTCTAGGTCCTAGCTGTTCTTGTTTTATTCATGGCATCCACGGCAGTCAGGAGCGATGCGCAGTACGCTGGAGCCAGAACAGGACTGCGGGGAGAGCAAGCAGGGGGAGCCAGCTTCTAGAGTCTGCGGAAGGAACTGGGGATCTTCTAAGTTTTCTGGCACTTTCTGAAGTTGGGATTCCTCCTTGATAACGTCCTCAGAGAAGATATCTCCATTTGTCTGGTATCTGCGTCTTCCCAAGTGTTCCGGGAGAAGCAAGGGGCCGCAAGTTCTGCAAGGGGGACACGATTCGTTACAAGCAGCTACTCCGTCGATTTAGGATTGCCATACAGGATCCACTGTTTGCTGGTGCATTTACAGACTGTTGAGCAAGAATCCTTTGCAGAGAGACAGACACCACGCAGGCAGGACTCACAACCGTAGCAATCACCGCAGCAGAAGCAACAAGAGGAATCAGGATGAGAACAACTGGTGGCGTTCATGAACATTGCAACACTAGAAGCCATTCGACTCGAAGCATCATCATGGTCATGGTCGTGATATATGCCCACAACCGTACTAAACCCAGTTGTCACAAGAAGAAGAAGACGGAATAGTGAATGACCTGGACCCACTTTTTGGGAGTATACCGTATACCCTTAAAAAGCAAGACACGACCCCAAACAGGCAAAGACATCCCGGGAAAGGGGCTGTGGCGCTGTAGGGAAACACTCAAGTTGTAGCCAGGGTGTAACCCAGATCATCATATACCTACCGTAGTGGATAACACTAGGGTTTCATAATATTGCCTACCTGCTTCTTAAGCTAGATAAACCTAGCTTCCATTTCATGTTCCATGTTCTTGTCTATTTGATTCTCCATTAATCGGGTAAAATCCCTGAACGCTATATCATCTCTATATAACCCCGGATATTCCCTAAACCCTTAAAACTTGAATCCCTATCAACCCTACATAACCCTGTAGAACCCCGTATGGTTCAAAGCGACGCCTCACTGGACTTCCCTGGCAGATCGCTTTGCAGTTCGGGAATGCGGTCCGTAAGCTCTCGGACGGAGATGCCTGGATGTGAGAGCAAGGGCTTCAAGGGCAGAATACTGCACCTAGAATAGCTAGCGTACCGATATCTTTACCTTTTTGAAGGCTCTATTTAATGTCACTTTAGGTGGGGGCAAAATACAAAGACCATAGCAGGGTTTTGGCGGCATGTTATGCCGCATTTCTACAAGGATCACAAGGGTACAACGAGATTCAGACTACCGCAGTAGCACGGGAGCCACCGGAGCCTACACTCACCCTCCAGTGGTTCACCGGAGACTCGTTGCAGCTTCGTGGAGTGTAATGTATTGCTCCTCCAAGGATTTTTCAGGTAAAATGTGCAGTGGTATCATGCAAGGACAGATGATGTTCAAAGGGCCCTCAGACAGCTCATTTGGGGGGTTCCAGATTCAGAGGTACCTCTGAGGTCCCTATAAGAAGGATTATAGTAGTTTTTGGTTTACATTAGGGTCCCCCATTTTTGGGGAAACTGCCATTAGCGCAGGCTGCCGAGGCTTGGAAGTGAATATAAGTTGGACCGGGCTCAGATTAGGAAGACAGTTACATTTGGTGATCGGCCAACTTAGTGAGAGTCAAACATGCGAGTCATAGAGCGCAACTTCTGAAGATAAAGGCATCAGGCATGGCTACTCACTCCATCCCAAACCTACAACTTTCCGCATGAAGATAGCTCAGTGGTGAAAGAAACTACCTAAGGACAGAGGCCTCCATCAACACGCGGCCTGCCAGACTGGTTTGCGATTTCGGAGACTCGGGAGCATCCTCCTGTGCTGATGAGGAACTGGCTGAGTTAAGGGAGTACAATACGCCCTCGGGGTTGTCCTGCGATGGCTCTACAACTACTCCCCCGGTACTGGCTGCGTACAGCACTGGATCAGAAACGGTGACATCAGAGGACTTGTCGGCAGCGCAGGTGCCGTGGCCATTGAAGCTTCTCCCGCCCAAGAGCTCCACTGCTAGACCAGACGCAGCTGCCACAATGCGCAGGTTGACTGCCGAAGCCAAGGCCAAAGCAGCCAAGGCGTCCCAGCAGCGCAGCATGCAGCAGCGCAGCATGTCGCAGCCATGCCGTGGCCACCCGCCAGCCAGAAACACCCAAGCAAGGACTGCACAGCCCAAGCGTGCATCAAATGCAAAGCCTGTTCGCAAAGCAGAGCCCAAACCAGCACCCCCTCGATCTTCGAGCAAAGCACGGGTGAAAGATGTTTCCACACAAACGGCCGAGAAGCCATGCAACCAGAAGCAGGGCAAAGTGGACGCCTCCAGGGCCCGTAAGTGTGGCAAGGCTCCACCAAGAAGCGCTCGGCCCAAGACTCCACGTGGCCGAGGGCCTCGGGCTGGCAGCGCAATCGGCGCCAGAGCTTCGAGGCCTCGGACCACGCGGCCGTGCAAGATGAACCGGTCCTTCTCGGCGCCCACCATTTCCGCGACGCAGAAATCCAAAGCCGCTGATGCTCTCAGGCGCTCGCAGTCGGCAGGGCCACTCTGTCATCGGCGGTGCGTAGCTTGTTTGGTGGCTGAGCTCCGCTCGATGTCTTGGCCTCCTTTGCGCCCAGGCACCTGCGTTTGCTCTGCGAGACGAAAACCTTCCAGAAAAGCCGAATGTCGAAGCCGGTCGCGGCGCATAGAGAAAACGGCAGAGAATGAGAAGGACGCCGAAAAAGTTCTGGAGCCACAAGAGCTGATACCATGGAGCTCTCCTCAGGAATTGATAGCACTGGGCCAGCTCATGCAGCTCAGGCAGGCCGCGTGCCTAGATGGAGCGGTGCAAACCGACTACTGTGAACTTGCGGGCCCTCGGCCTTCCAGCGCACAGCATCATGCAACAAATTCGGAATTCAAGGGGATTTTTGCGCAGCAGATGCCACAGATAGAGGACCTGTCCGTCTCTGCAGACAGCGTGGATCGGAGATTGCCATGCATTCCACTTTCCTGGACGTGCATCCATGAGTTTACTCGGATGCGGCAATTTGCCTTGACTGGCATGCTCCCAAGCCCGCCATCGATGGTGGGACAAGAGATTGCCACCTCCGGTAATCGAACCGTAGCCACGCTCACGCAGGTGCAATGAGTTTGCGTCTTGCAGCTCTCATCGTCGGCTAGCAGCTACAATTCTGCTTGCTTGCAAAAACAATCTAGTCTGTTCTGTTTGCTGGCAGGTGCCTGCGCCTGTGGTGGAGGTGAAAGTCAAACGCAAGACGCAGCCGGTAAAGGGATCAAAGCGTCAGGGCCTGAGTCTGCTACAGAGAATGTAATCAAGCTGTTTGCGTAGTGACTGGCATGAGCATGTGTCCGTCATGGCAAACTTCATGTCGCAGGCATCTCCACACAAAAAGGCTGAGTTTGGGGCCTGGTCGGGTACTGATTTTACAGCACACCCGCAGGCTTTGTGCCTGTCCTTTCAGGAGTAGTCATGAACATTAGCTGCGAACTCATGAATGCAGGTCATGTAGGAGTCTCAACCCACGATATGTTGGGATGAAATGGGATGGGCATGCTTACTTGCATCTACTCCTGGTGAATGTGCGGAGGCTTCATAGTTTGCAAATCCACTATGTCGACACAGACTGCCCCTAGCTGGTAGGGCATCTATGGTTTCTTCACAAGAATCCTGACCAATAATCCAACCTGGGCAGGACGAGTCTATGTGGTTGTGAGGAAGGGCAGCCTATGTCGACATTATGTCCTTGTAATGTAGGGTCTGCAGAGCATCTGCGCACACCCATGCCCAAGTCGGCTACCAGAAACTGGGGCGGGGCCGGCTTGCGCATTTTCGCCAAAAAAGAAGAAGATGGGCGTTGGTCCCTGAGGGGCAGTGGAGAGAATTATGTAGCATCTGCTGACGGCTCAGGGGTTCCCACTTCAGCGAACAGGTAGAAATACAACATGTGGACTCATGAAAGGGAAAGGCTAGCAGTGGAGCATGCAGTAGGCGAGGAGCCGACCAGGAGCACAGTTCAGTGCAGCAGTGACCAAGGCTTATGTGACGCACATCGCTGCATGACTGCGATCTAAGTGCGTGTGCATGTACATGTCACGGTCTGCCGACTCAACAATTGGAAGAAACACATTTTTCAAACAATTGGAGGGAAATATTTTCCCCCAACTGTTTAGTGATTTGAAATTCTGAAGATGAAGTCCGGCCGTTCTGTCACGGGGATTCGTGCCTGGCCCAAGCCTTTTCGAAATAGAACATTCTTTGTGGGGCCTGCTGCTTCTTTGCAGAGCATGGCACTCCCGGCATGGTTGGTCAGTTAAAGGGGCTGGGTTTCTCCAAGTTGAGGGTCCCAAAGATCTCCTGGAAATGAGAAACTTAACTAGGAAAACTGTAGGTGCAAAGATGAAGGGTATCCAATTTCGATGGCAAACACCAGGGAACTCGTCCTTTCTTGACGGCTTTGGGGTTGGAGGTGCTCGTAACAAGTCATAAGTTGAGGATTTAGACGTCAGGATTCCAGGCTTAAGGTTGGCTCATGTGGCATTCTCCTATGGGAACGAAATATTTCTTATGCACGCATTGAGACCCAGATTTCTGAAGACCCATCCCAAACTCTAAAACATCACTTTTCCTGAGATGTCTGTGTGAGCAAAGTACTGTACACATCACGCTGGAGAAATCCTGACATTGCTTTTGCGTTCCTTAGAACTTTCTGAAAACAAAGTGACCAAAATACGGGGAGGTTTGAGAAGCATCAGCCCCGTTAGACATTTGCATGCCTGCATGACCCTGTCTGACCGTCAAGGTAAACACCACTCCTTGCGTTTTCCAGCTGCGTTTGCTCCCTGGCCAGGCGCAGGTCGCCCGAGATGCCGATTCCTTCTATGTACAGGATTGCAGACAGGCGCGGCTTATTTATCATTAGAGGTGAGTTGTAAGAAGAATTCCCTGGTTCTACTTCCCTTGTTATCGATTACATGCAAGATAACCAACCGACAGGCAGTGTCTTTTGGATCAAGTTGTTGTTTGTGCCGTCACCATGCCTCCTTGCGACGCAAGTTAGGTTTTCTGCCAGTGAGTATGATCACCACTGTGGAGGCTGCAGCACTTCATGATAGGAGGGTTATCAGCGAGGTTCCACCCAGAAGCTACGGCCGGCGCTTTGGGTTGAGTTGTATGCTTGGTTCCAAGCCATGGCAGAGAGTCCCACCAGCCATCACGGTTCGCAGCCATTTTAGCAAGTGACCTCGTAGCAGTGTGATTTTGAAGCTTTTTCGACATGGTGAGGTCTAAAACCAAGGCTTTTGAAGTACTCTGAGATTTGGGTATGCAGCAGGGCTCAAGTGGAAGCTGCCAGGGACCCCAAGCAGCATCCTAAGAGGAGGTACTGCGCACGTAAACCAGCGCAAAGTCAATTTTTGTCGCAGGTGCAGAACAACACTCATACCATCCAGACGCTGATTCTTGGCATGATTCATACTGCATTTTCTATGGGCTCCATCACCCTGCATTGTAGTCAAGTCAGGCTTGGGGGGGTTGTTTGTGCCAATGGCTGCTACAACCTGGAAAGTAAGCCAAGTTCCGGCGCCACGCCTTAGAGCTGCGGAATTTGACAGCTTTGATTGAAAACTGGCAAGTCAAGCATGCTCCACCCCTGCATGTCAACGTCAAACAGTTCCTGCCACACTGAGGGAGCGCAAGTATCATCAGCCCATGAAGCAGCGAGCGTGCGTTGTTAAATCTGCTTTTCAAGACGGACATTCCCCATGTGTCGGTACAGAAAATGGGCTTGTCGTCGCATACTCTCAAGCTCACATGTAGCCATGTAGGTGGAGGCTACAGTAGCTTGATAAGGGCCCACGTCGTTCATGTAAGGACTGGACAGATTTCTCGCTTGGTTGGTACGATGGAGGCGGGAGCTGCAGCATAGGACCTTTGCTTGTTGCAACTTGAATTCTTGCCCAGCGGAGCTTGACATTTAGGGAGGGTGAGGCAATGCTTTGGAAGCCTCACTGAGGTAGCACCTCAGTACAGCTTTGACGCCTGCCACTGACAGTTGCGTCTCTCGTGTTCCAGGCTGAGAAGGATTTCCAGCACTGCCGAAAAATGGTGGATGACGCAGTGCGCCAGGCCAGACAGCTCAAGACCACAGACAGGTATACTGCGCTCTAGCCTAGCAGCCTTCGCCGGCGCTTCCTTATGCTCTCGTGACTCCGGGCTTTGCAAACAAAATCAATTCAGTATACCCAGTGCACGGGGAGTCGGAGTGACCTGACCAGAGGCGGAGGAAGCTACTTTAAGACTCTTACCTCTTGAGCATCTGTTCTTAATATCCCTATTAGTTGCAGATCTTTAGTGCAGCCTCGGCCGGAAAACGCAATGTCGAACCGCATGCGTAGCACACCAAGCCGTTCTGAATCAAGGCTGATACCTGAGTTCCTGGAGTCGAAGCATTAGTAATAATAATAATAATAATTAGTAGTAGTAGTAGTAGTAGGCGCCCCCACCCCCTAGGCATTACCGTTCTAGTTAAAATTCATTGTAGATAGGT